TCAAAAAGTCGCTGTAACCCCGTAAGTACCCAGCGCATCGTAGCGCACTGATGGTTACAAGAAGGTGGACGTATGCTGATTCATTTGGTATATCACATGTGTTAGTGTTCTTTGGCGATACTTGGCAAATAAGGCAACTAGGTGTTTAGCTGCAGCCAAGGTTTGAAACGGTATTCTAACCCTAGCAATACCGTTTCTTGGAGCTAAGAGGGTCTATGTCCCAAAGGGTACTGCCGGAACATACTCTGGGTACGGTCCGGGTATACCGGAACTTACCCTGTTACTGTCTAATATGCCGCACCGTACCTCGCCTACTCCACTAACGAGTCTAGGGAGTCGCCTATGCCTACTCCCTAACCCTAACCATATCAAATAGTTACCAGGGTACGTTTCGCGTAGTAACCACTAACCTGGGCCTGGGCGGACATAGATGATAGACGCTGAGCATTAATAGTAAGTGAAATGTAGATCTGCAAGTTAGTGGCTTATACACAGTAAACACACGCGCGCCCATTGACCCTCCTAATTGTTGGCACCTAATCTTTAAATATGCTATACCTTGTTTGTCGTGTTTCTAATTTCACTTATTAAATTTCTCAAAATTCGGACAGAGCGAACTGCGCCAGCAGTGGAGGCAGCCATGATGGTGGCGCTGGTGTCGATGTGAGCAAACTAACGATAGAATCTTTGAATTCCAACATCTACACTCACACGTGACACTGTACATTGAAGTTGTGTCGTATGATATGCTGCTGTTTAGAAGCTGATGGAGCTAAAATTTGCTGCAAACTTAGCATGGTTATTTAAAGATGCTGGTAGCATTTGTGCCAGGTATGCGGCGGCACAGGTAGCGGGGTTTTCAGGGTGTGGAGTTCCCATTATGGCAGGTATAAATCAGAGCTCATTGGCAGAGCTGGTCGAGGCAAAACAGAAGTCGGGATTGGAGCAGGTCCTCGTTAACGCTCTTCCTGGTGAGTAGTTGGTCTGAGTAGTGGTGATTAATGACTGTTGTTGTTATCCATTTGTATGTATGTATGACTGGGAACCTTTAGATCGGTATTTCCCTGCAAAAAAAGGAAATTTTTTTTATTACGTGTCCCTTTATAGATTTGTGAGTGCAGCTGATCTAGCTCCCCAAAGTATCTCCAGGTACTGTTTAGTAAGCTGAACTATAGTAACTAGACAGAGGGCACTCACGGAGAGTGCATACCTCCGCGAGCCCATGTAACATGTATGTGTTACGAGCTGGCTCGCGCTCGCTGCTGGCTGCTGCCTGACTGACTCGCGGCGCTTGGTGGCGCTGCTGACTCCGCGCCGGCTCTGCTGGTGTCGTTCGCATTATTGATAGACTCCTGGTCTTATGCGAGTTTTACAGTATTGTATTGTAAAACTAGAGTGCAGTTTACATCTGCAATTAGGAGCTCCATATATGCATAAAAATTGCAAGAGTGGGAGTAAGAGAAAGGAGGGAGAGCGCGTGAACGATTAATGTAATATAGGCTTTGACTGTTCCACAGGAATTAACAGAAGAGTACTCTAGCAAGCGCCAGCTGACACCAGCAGAAAGTGCCCAGTTAGTTGGTCTACAGATGCCAAAGACACCAGAGTAGTGGACATCCAGGAATGTCCATTGCTTACTGTTGCCCGCTCCATTCAATCTAAACAAAGTGACTTTTTCACTATGTATTCGCTTATTTTGTGAAGTGGCAACATAGTATAGAAATTGAACTGAAATGCCATTAAAATAACATTTTAGCTTACAATCTTGTCAGACTTATTGTTAAAATGTGTGACTGTTTGTTAAAAATAGTTGTTAATATTTAATTAAAACCTAAACTGAACCCAGAAGTATTCTTTCATATAATTTATTTGCATTTTTTATTGCCTTTTTAATAATAAAAGCAAACAAAAAGCATTTAACCCCCATTTAAATTGAGGGTTGTGGCAAAAGGGCCAAAAGTTTAAGATATAACATACGTGAACACGAATGTCGCAGATCATTAGATGCTTCCATAAATTGCCTAAAACATCAACATTGCATAATTGTCATGATTGTACAGCACGGAACAACCGTAATGTTGCTGCATACATAAACTGTATGACTGTTGAACGAGCAGTATAAAATTTAAATATTGTGTAGATTTCTGCGATAAATAAATAAATAGCATGCTATAAATTGGCGCAAAATTTTGTAACAAATCCAGCAATTGACAACTATTTACACCATACCTACATAATTTGCACAAGTACACAGACATGTAAACGACAGGTTAATTATGCACACGTGAATAAACCTTATACAATATGGTCCCTAAATCTACCAGCCCTGCTCTGATCCAACGAGTGAGAAAGTACAGGACTAATAACTTGTACTTGTGCTATACAGCCGTCTTTTGCTCGATATTGATGGCCGACAGACTTGGTCGTATTGGCAGGCTCACATGACTGCTGTTTCTGCTTGGAAGCCGACTAGAGTTGGCGCTCGAGTTTGCGCTGGTATCCAACAGATGGCGTGAGCTGGCGTCGTTGCGAGTCATCGCCGGGCGTGGGGTGCGCGTCTGCAGCGCGGCGCGCCTGCAGCAGGAGCAGCGCGCCAGCAGGCGGTCGAGCGGCTCGAGCGAGTGCATCCACTCCGGGAACGCCTCCCACGTGCGCAGCGACTGCGGCAGCGCGCCGGGAAGCTTCGCCTGCATCACGTTGACGACGACGACGAACGCGGCGACGACGCACGCGGGGATGCCGACGACGGCCAGCGCGACGGGACCGGCGATGGTCAGCGCGAACACGCTGACGGGCAGCAGCACGAACATCGCGAGCAGGTAGAGGATCGCGAACCAGCGGTAGCGCGCCGTCGTGTTGCCGAGCATCTTCGCGAGACCGATCGGTAGCCGCCGCGTCACCGGGATCGGGTAGAACAGCGCGATGCCGCTCACGTTGAACAACAGGTGGCAGAGCGCGATCTGCAGCGCGCTCCGCAGGCGCGCGCCGCTGCTCGCCATCGCCGCGAGAAGCCCCGTCACCGTCGTGCCGATGTTGGCGCCGAGCGTGAGCGGGTACATGCGCTCGAGTCCGACGACGCCGATGCCGACGAGGGGTGTCAGAGCCGACGTGAACACGGAGCTGCTCTGCACGAGGATCGTCATGCACGCGCCGACGCCGATCGCAAAGTAGCCCGTGAGGTGCGAGAGCGGGCCGGGGAAGTCGGCGTTCACCATCGTCTTGACGGCGGTCGCTATCTGGCCGCGCAGCATCGAGTGCAGCAGCTTCACCATCAGCACGAGGCAGCTGCAGAGCATGCAGAGCGAGAGCGCGAGCAGCACTACTCCGAGAACTTCGTCGGCCAGCCCCGTGTCGTGGAACAGGAAGGAACCTGTCGGTGGGAGAACGCACTAATATGAATGCCTACCCATGATTTTACGAGAGACTAGTGACATGTGCGATTTTACTGTTGTAAATACTCAATGGTTAATAAAGCTGGCTATGGCTTAAAGTTACTAAAATAACTGTCGCTTTACAAAATAGAATGCATTTAGTCGGGTAATTATTATCAGGTTATTACTATTCTCTAATATTCCCCACCCCTCGTGTATGAGAGAGTACAGGGTGATAAAGCTAGAGAAATCCGGATTGTTCTTGCTTGCACGAGTCCTTCTGCCATTAGCCAACGTATATACATGCAGTTATTTTCACACAGTAGTTTTGTATTGAATAATTATAAATGCTCTATGCACGGTTTATCAGCAACTGCAGTTGTACCACTTTACTAAACTATAATATGATGCATACATGTGCACACTTTTTGAACAAAAATTAGTTGCTTGGAATCAGGGCAAAAAGGAGAACGGTCTAAGGGCAACAGTACAACAAGTACAGACAAAACTTACAAGGCTCGACTCCAACCTTGACCTCCTCTTCAACAGTGTAATCAAACAAAGTGGCAGAACTATTGTCCGTGTAGTTTTGTTCCATAGTTGCGTTTATCAGACTTTTTGTCGTCTCATAACTGCACCAGTACTTGATCAGGGACTTGTTTGTCGCCCCAGGCACGCCAAGCGCAATATCCTCAATGACACCCTTGTCCAACTGAGTGCGTAATAAGAACGTATCAGTATTACTAATTACCCCTTAAGAAAAAGACAGCTAGAAAAAGAAAGCTCATATCAACCAGAGGAGCCTCACAGCATGCTGTACTTTATTTATGGCTTTGGCAGCCAGTGGTTAATTATAAAACCAGTTACCAGGTGCCAAAATAAATTACTGGCATGCATAGGGCCATCCTTAAAAAATTATGTTTTCTGTCCTCCGACCGACCCACGAAAATAGCCGCGACCCCAAAGTTTTTTTTGACATTTTGGGTTCCATATTTTTTTAATTTTTCATAGTTAAGACTGAAACACAAAGCATGTGTGGCAAACATGAGGACAGACTTAAAATAACTATTATGCCTCACACACACACAAAAACCTACCTACCTACTCGCTAAAAAAATCATGGGTCGGGGGACAGCAAACATAGAATTTTTTAAGGATGGCCTAGACAACCATATCAACAGAGGATCTCTGTATAGCATCACATATCACTGGATGTCGATGAGTGAAGATTGCGTAACGTATCTCCCGTTGAATACCACAGGGAAAGCAGAGTGATAGCATTCCGGTGTTTAAATATAAATCGCACGTGGTGCAATATCATTAGCCGTTAACGTTACAGCTGCTGTTTATTAGACCAGACACTGCCGGGGGGGAGGGGGGAACTCCCAGACACGTTGGTGGACCGATATAGTCAAATGGGGTAATCAGACACCGTTTTAGTACTGTCCTATGCAGGACTATTTGAAATGCGAGTATGAAGTTAGGCAACATGCATTAGCTGGTTGTAGGGCGGCCGGGCTCAGTGTCTGAACTAAAATGGCATGGTTACCTGTACAACTAGACGTGTGAAAGGTTTTGTAAGGACCGTCAAAAATTCTCTGTCAGCACTCTCCTGTCTCCCGAGATTGTAACTACTGGTGATGGCCTTTGTAAGTGTGAACAAGTACCCTGTTGAAAACGATCAAATACAGATGATGCACACTGATGAAATGATTGTAGACAATTTTGTTAAAATCGTTGTACACAAACATTCCAATTCACTTGTTATGCAACTTTTACAGTGTGGGATTATTGCTTAAGTGAATATAGCAATTGCAATTGCACCCGAAAATGCACATTCTCACTTCCATCTGGTAAACTATGTAATAGACATATTAGCATACACACACACAAAAACATATATATACCTGTTGCAACCTCCATTGGAAGCAATATGAGTACTGACAACCAGTTGAACATGTCATGTACAGTGGCACCAGCAAAGGCACGTCTGAATTCGTTTTTCTCCTGGGACTGTGCGAATGAAACGATGGTGTTGGTGACAGACGTTCCGATGTTGGCTCCCATCACGATTGGAATCGCCCGTCTTACATCTACAACTGAAAATTCGAAATTCAGAGGTAAAAATAAGATTTTGGTAAAATGACATCAACTGCATTAATACAGAAATCTCGAAAAAAGGAACTCAATGGAAATTAGGATCTTAAAATGATTGACTGTATAGTTAAAATCATTTCCCAATTATTAGCTTTAGCACAATTTTCAACTAAAAGGTCATCCACTCACATCAATTGAAGTATTTTTTGCAAGGACACAAATTGCATGCTATTGCTATAGATGACATGTGTAGATAAGTTAGAATGCTTTTTGCACTTATTGGATTAATATAGCATGAACATGATATTGATACATATTTTTCTGAGAATAACTTAGAACCACTAGCTTCACCAATAAATCAGTGAGTGGCCTAGTGCAACAAATAATATTCTGGCTGGGGAAATTCACGACACTTACTTCCAGAGGCAACCATTGTCACAACAATGGAAGTGGATGTGCTAGAACTCTGCAACATTACAGTAGCAAGGACACCAATCATGAGACCTGTCACTGGATTCGACAGTATCTCGCTGTCGTTAAATATTTCCCCGGTCGCTTTTCCACCAATCAGACGGAAGGCAGAGCTGTAACAGAAGCATTGCTCTCAATTCAATGCAGTAAGTGTTGGGAGTTGAATTTCGTTCGAAATTTCAATACCCACTTTATTTGATAGATCGCAGCCATGGGCAGCTATGTATACGTAGAAATTATGTATGTAGCCTCCCAAACAGTTCCAAATCCCCGCATTAGTCAATTCTTAACATAGGCGTTCAATGATGGGAAATTTAGAAAAGTGCTGATATCTCGGTTGTTAAAAATGCCAAAGTAGGTGATTTTTCAAGCACTATATTTCGCAACTCCGATTCCAATTTTTTTTTGTTACGTTTCAATGCTAACATATCAAAGGAAAAAATCGTCTCTGGAATTTTTTTTAACTATTTTATTTTATGAGTTATGGCTCTTTGTTTACGAAATTGTTGCGTTTAGAAATTCACTACAAATTTGTGTACATCTTTTCAACTTATTTCCTTAATTAAAGCATTTAAAAAAAATTCCAGGGACCCCTTTTTTAGTTCATATTATGAACAACTTATGGTTAAATTAAAAGTTTAGGTCCCAACTCTTTGCTGTTTCTGAGAAAAAGCAAAAAAAGCATGTTTTTGTATAAATTCACAATTTTTGCCGTCAATTAATTAGCAATAAATTTGTAAAAAAAAATATTAATCGAGAGCGTAGAGAGACATCTCTCGTATGTAATGGATACGAGTTTGATTGAATTTGATGAGTAGAATAGGTTGCAATGCCCTTAAAGTGATTACGTCACGAATTTCTAGCACCATTAAGTAGTACATTTGTGTGTTATTTGTACAAAATAAAATGTATGAAAATAGAATTAGTGTTTCTGTTTACTTTTCACCTTCTTTATATACCCCAATTTGCCGGTGAAAAACAGCGAGACGCCAGTATCTGAACAGTACTGGGGGAATAGTGTTAGACAACAGAAATTACCAAATCGTCTAGATTTTTGCAAATTTAACCAACGTAAAAACATTTTTATCAGGTGAGAGTTTGAGGATATATTTAGTAACGTTAGTTCTTACTTTTAATGTAAAAAAATGGCAATTTTTTTTAAACAAATTTTACTATAGAAAATTCGTGACGTAGTCCCTTTAAACCCTTTACAGTGTTACCGGTCCGTAACCCTTACCGTATCCTTTAAAACAGTATTGATCAACCGATAAAATATTGCAGTCTGAGCCCTGAGGCCAGTCCTGATATGGCCAGTACATTTTCACTGAACATGAGCATCAATGCAAGCACAGTACTCTCTCCTATTGATTATATATTTTGATACTGATCCTACTATTTTTCCAGATTCACTCAGAATTTAAGTGGCCTGGCTGTCCTGATATTTTATACGAACTTGTTGCAGTGCAATTAAAAGTATATATATACATTTTCTTGCATCTTTTACGCCTGAACAACAATATGACATGTGAAAACCTCAAACAAAACACACAAACAAACACTAAACGTTCACATCTGCAACATTATGTGTAATTTACTATCTTCCTACACGACACGTGTGTGACAGACACAACGAATACAACGAATAAAGCCGTCTGATCTATACGAGCCATCTGGGTGCTGTACATGTATGTTGCTAAGCAGGCCTGTAGCCTCTGAGCGGCAGCTGCCCCCCCCCTAGATTTTGGGGCAAAATTAATAAATAAGCGTAGCTAATAAGTAATAATCGTAAATAACCCTTTATTTTTTGGGTCACTTATCCATGAAAGCCTTGTCTCAGACCCACCCCTACCACACTATCAGTGTGCATGTCGATCAAGAGCTTCGCCCATCCCTCATCATTACACAGTCGAGTCATGAAATTTTGCCCACCCCCCCTAGAAATTTGCTCAGAAAACAGCCCTGTTCCTAAGCACCAAGCTAGGTTAACTGCTGTTCTATCTACCCTGACTATATCTGATACGAAATTGCAGCACTAGCAAAGTGGAACACATATGCATACATCTATTATTATATAGATATATATATACACACTACTACAACACACCAGACTAATAATACATACATAAATATCTCACTTTCTATATATATAACCACATTACTGCATAATTGCATAATAGTGCCAAAACATGTGGCCTGTGCTTCTGTAGGCACTTACCTCAAGAAATCCAGCGAACATATGAAGATGTAGAGTAATGCCACCAGTGCCAAACTTCGTCCGACATAATCCACAACAACTCTTTGGACTTTAGCGAATGCAGACAGTTCTGTTGTGAAAACATTAACTCATTAGTGAACTCATTAGACATGCATGATTTTATACTGTCACATCACATGAGCATGCATATGAAACGTTCCTACAATATATTTGGCTTTGGCATTTAGACAAGGTAGCTGCAAACTGGTGCTGTCACTGAAGTACGAAATGTTCATGAATAACAACCGCATGTATGTTGTATCACGAATGACAAGCTGTCACAGTTGAATGCAACAGTACAGAACAGTTGTGACTATAAATTATTTAGTATATATGTTTTAACATGAGTCTAGTGTAATACTAAGATGTCTTATCCAAGATGTTTCATTATTGAACAAGACACTGGTAACTTACCAAACCAGTAGTAATGTACACATGTTACAAGCCCTACTTGTTCTTATAATTATTACAAAACAGACAGAGTATGATCAAAGTACGAGCAGAATTAGAAATCACACCACATTGTAGGCATAGGGCACTTGTAACTTGTAATAACTAAAATTTTAAACTGATAACAGTAACAGATCGTAAAATTCTGGACTCAAATACAACATAACATACTTGGCTGAACATAACTGCAAGCAATACAACAGCATTTATTTAATTGGAGTCTGATGTCATTTTTCCGGCAAAGAAAGTCAGCATAAATAAACAATAATTTAGCAGAACATAATAATGCTGGAGCACTGCTACTATTACTATTAGCTCTAGTACTATAGCCCGTGTACAGTTGTTGCAGGCCTGCGGCAACTGTACGAGGGGCTATAGTACTAGAGCTATGCTACTACTACTAGTACTATCAGTGTGTTTAATTTATATATAGTTAATCACCAACACTACACTAACCTGTATGTCATGAACGTAAATGCACTCTTATTAATATACAACACATGACATCTGTATAATGAGGCAAGACACTTTGTCATTTATCCAAAATGACCCTTCACCCAAAATTTGAGAGTAGTATAGAGCTTAGGTGCCAAAGTATACCACGCTGCTTGCTGTGATGATAGTTTTCTTGTGAAGAGTCATTTGTCACTTGAAAGTTCGTGTAGCTCGATTATGAAAGGCAAGGAAGCTGATATATGCCTGTTATATTCTGTTCAGCATGCACCCGTACGTTTGTGTTTAGAACCACCGATACAAGGGCTCCACTAGATACAATAATGTAACCCAAACACAGGATAGGTAACCCCCTATTCTGTGTTTGGGTTACATTATTGTATCTAGCCTCTAGGGTTCCACATGCACTAGCCTGACTAGGTAGTACTATAGTAGCAGGGTTCTCTAAGCTTTTTCATTATAGCATGGCGGGTGCTGCCTTTACGGTCCTAGTTGCAAATCGCCGAAGGCGGTTTTCGTGCTAGGGGCTCCGGGGGCTATGATATTTAGAGTGGCGGGTGCATTTTAGGATGGCGGGGCGCGACGATAGCCTGGCGGGCCGCCAGGCTATAATAAGTGCTCTTGGAGAACCCTGAGTAGTAGTAGGTAACTTGAGCAAATAATTTGGCAACTCTGAAAACATCAATATTGTATTAGAGCAATGTCGTTGTTATATACAGCAATACACGACATCGCATCGTCGTTGTCGGGACCCCAAGAGAGATGCACGCGACGTTGCGTCACATGAATAACGCGCGCATTCAAATGTAAGCCAGCTACCTGACCACTGTATGCTCGAGTCGTGTAGCTCGGGCATGGCCCACGGGTCCGCATCCTCATCGTCATTGACATACGAATTGGGGTAGGAGAGATCCACAACCGAGTGTCGATCATTGACGAGTTCCGGATGCATGAGGCACACTGCAGCAGTGTCCAAGACTGGAACTGGATCTGCGATCGCCTCGGCAGTCTTCTCCTAACGTGAACATACCGGTAACACGTCAGTTACACACACTTCCCGCCCAAACGACCCCTACGACGAAAAAGCTGTCAGTGTCACGCAACGTACGAGACTACGACGACAACTCAGCGAGTCCAAAAAATCGTCAATTAAACTCGTCTACTTACCTTTTCCATGACGTTCATCATCAAGACTGGGTCACTTTCGGCATATTCTGGAGGAGGAGAATCTGGTAGTTGTAAGCGCTTCTTTGAGAAGTCCCTACAGGCCATTTTTTCGCTACTGCAGCAGTACGACGAGTATAGAAAGGATGCTGCGGTGTTTCACAATGCCGGTAGTTACGTTACGGCGGCCGCTAATTCATACTCGCCACCCACGTCATCACCCGTCATCACCCGATTGGTTGGCGTAACGCCAGCTGAAACGTGATTGGTCATCTCGCGTGTTAATCCTGCGTAGCAGCGCGTGAGAGTTCACGTGAACACCGCGGGGTTGGGGCGTGCGAGGAACTCGATTGAACCGGTTGCCGGCTTTTACCCGATCAATACCTCTGGCGCGCGCGCGCGAAAATGGCTGTGGGAGTGTGGGTTCCTTGTCTTTAGAAAGTTCGCAGATGTTCGGCTATTTCTCCTGATTGTATCTAACTTCTAAGTAACTCTTACAATAGTAAAATGTCAAATTGTCGTATGCACGATCGAAGTGAAATATAGCATATGAATAACACATCTGAGTCATGAACACAATATATAGATCCAAGAAACGGTCTTGCTAGGGTTAGAAGACGTGTATAGACAATCGGTCGCACAGCCTGGTCGGGCTAGAACACAATACAGACATTACGAGAAGCTTACTAGTTCACGTTGTCCGCTTTACTAATGTACCGTCGACTCATTATAAATTAATCAAATAAAAACACAGGAACTCGTTCTCTTCTTTCCTATGTCTAAATACCCCCTATTAACTATTCACTATTAACTATTATTATTTATTAATATATCCTCGAACGTACACGGCATATACGATATACCGGGGTACGTAGAAAATAACACCGGCTAGAGTCCCTATGTATTGATCAATATAAAGAGAGTCCCTTTATATTATTGAGTCAATATAAAGGGACGATAACACCGGCAACATCGTTTCGCCATCTGCCGGGAGTTTTCAATTTATTTGTGCCAAAGACATTGGTCGTAGACTCGTACTCGTAGTGGTCCTCGTAGTGGTGTAGTGGTCGTAGGCGCATATATATCAGAAGTAGATATAGGAAATATAATATATATATAAATATATATATAAAAGGCAATGCTATATATGAAGCATCTTGTAAGTAGGTGTGTAAGTACGTAGTACAGTGGCAAGGCACTGGGAAGTGGGAATGTGCGTGGTTGGCGGGGATCCGATTATCAGTATGTGGTTGGGGTGATTTTATATCAGTATATTTACTACCAAGAAAAGATTGGCGGGGCAAAGCAATAGTACAATGCGTGTAGCACATCAGCTAAATCGTTTCTGTTTAACTAAGGTAAAGAAATCTTGTTTGAAATCGGAATAGGGTGCTTCCTAATAACACGCAATTGTATTAACCAAATTGTTTAAAAACGACTAATTTATCCTTCACACAAGTACGGCTCAATGAGGAATATCGATATGTCATCATGATTGTGACTATTCATTGCGATTAACGTTCGTAGAATTTGTACAATTTACGTTACGCACCTCAAGTTTTACAGTGTAGTAGATTGTGGTAGGAGTAAGTGCAACACCCCTATATCAGTCTTAGTGTAGGGCCTACATAACACTTGAACATAAACTAGGACGCGCCACCACTGTGAGGAAGCACAAGCAATGGCGCCATCCACACATTGCCAGCTCCGTTGGTATACATGTATGCAGGCAGAGAGACTGCCACCAAGATTCTTCAACACTTAAATGAATGCACACTTAAATTGTTGAGTAATATTTTTACACAATTTTCCCATTTTATTTGAAAACACAATTGTACACATGGCCAATTTCATCTTCTCCATAAATTTCCAATCACAATCATAAACACCAGTCTACAATCTTGCTCTAAAATAACCACCCTTGGGAAAGCAACCCGAACAGTTGGCAACCGAAGTGGTAGTTTCAACACTACGGAAGTGACATAGAGATAGCCTGGTTGCACATAAGTCGTGGTACAAGCTGTTAAGGCTACTCACCAAGACAAAATCTCCCAGAGTTGGTTACCAATATGAAACGAACAGGCTTTAAATACTATGTTACGATCATGACAATGTTTGCTCGCAATAACAGTAAGTGGTGCGCTGTACTTACGTTGGTACGATATTATAAACTAACAACCTGTCTCTCTTGCTACTGCACTCACACGCACGAATGCATGCACAAACAGGCATACAGACGCACAAACACGCGCGCGGGCATGCACGTGCACACGACGGCGCACGCACCCACGTACGTGCATACACTCACATCCATGCATACACACAACACGATTGTGGAGCCATAAATTATATCTCAATAACACAACAACTATGTCCGAATACACAACTCCTTCACATTTTCACTTTCCATCTTTTTATCTTTTCACGTAACGTTTTACATTTAAATCTGGGAGTAGAGATGCTGCCAGTAATGCTGGTAAACAACAAAGAGCAGGGTATTGCCTCTATGTTCTTGAAAATTCACTTCCAAACAACACAGATGGTTTCCATCCACAAATTCAACTTTGTTACATAAAACACCTCTTCTCCCAAATGACAAACAAGCGCCATGCACAATTGCGTACAGACATTTTAGACATAATATCCTGTTCAAAATTCATCCAGGGCCACATACTGGGCTCATTTCACAGCATTCTATACATCGAAAAATAATAAATTTCCAATCCAACACCTAAAAGACTTTTGCCGCATCCATTCATTTGTAAGAGGTGACTTACACGTTATTTTCTCGGAGGATTAGACAACAGAAACACAGGACTACTGTAATAAAATAGCTGGTAGTTTGATGGTCAAACAATATAAGTGTATAGACAAAAAAGTGAGTACAGTACAAAATGTAGATGTATGTATGAACAGCTGGTTCTTTTGGCTTCGGTGTTTTTCGGATTTTAGTCGTCATCACCAGAGTCTGACTCTGCAATATGCAACAATACAACAAAATAATTTACAAGCTCTTTATATTATAACACACAATGATTTTTATGTATCTACCGTACTTGTGTATGTCACATTCGTGTATAAGCTACACCCCATATTTTGCCTTGAAAAGTTGGTACAAACATTGGTACATTAACAAGATTTCTTAGCGTCGTGTATAAGTTGCACCCCATATTTTGCCTTGAAAAGTTGGTACAAACATTGGTACATTAACAAGATTTCTTAGCGTCGTGTACAAGTTGCACCCCTGATTTTTTTAAGTAAAGTTGTGCACAAAAAAGTGCTACTTATACACAAGTAAATATGGTATCTGAGGAGACTATATTGTCCGAACCGATTTCCGGTATGAGAAGATGAGAAAACAGCAATATAGGGGCTTAAGGTAGCAAGCGATACACAACACTGTCTCACCTTCTTCAGCACTCTGCAACCATTCGACAAACTTCTTCATTTGATCGAGGAATACACTCTTGCCCTTGGTAGAATGTCCCTCCTTGTACCACAGAAGCACAACCTCCTCGCTCAGTACTTCCACTGCAAGGAGATAGAACAAAGTGATCTAAGGCTCTCAGTAGACCATTAATAGCTACACTTGAGGACTGCAAAATCAACTACAACTCTGACCAGCTTCCTTATAACTAATTAACAATGCGTTTAGCACAGTTTTTTTTAATGATGAGTAAGGACATGACAGTATCTTGAACATCAGTTGGAACTACAGCACTGCATATGCTGAACTGTAACAACATCACTCACCTTTGTACAACAGAACAATTATCTTTTGAAACATCTTCATGAAGGTCATGTGGTCATAGCAGTACTCCTGTATCTTCACCACAAGTGCCAGCTCTGACTTATTCTGAGTGGTGAGTGCAGAAAGCAGTGGCACATACTGCAGCAAACAGGACAAACATGTTATACACACCGAGGGGGTCAACCTGGCAACCGTCAATGACTCACTGCTCAACAAGATATTCTGCATTAGTGTACAGAATGCATCGTCCCTAATACAATACGAGGCGATAGCATAAAAATATCCAAGATCACAGTATTTCAAGATGACAAAAGTAATATAAGTTCAAGTTGACAGGGAACTGACTGTAGAATTTCTCCAGTCCAAATTATCCAGACACAAAACACTTTCCCAAAGCCAGAGATGGAATTTAAATGGTAACTAACACATGCTTTTGCAGTTGGATTTCGTATACCGATGTCTCTTTATTATGGTATTTCCTAAGGCAATAAGCCATATGTAATGCCATGTATTAGTATAGCGATTGTATTATGATGAAGAAAATTTCTGCCTCCAGGTGATTTTTCCCCTCCCTAGCTCATGCTCAAGCCTATTATATCTACTTCGATATACATGCAGATCTATCTTCCCAGCATGCAAAACGCCCCACTTCTATTAGACGTACACATGAGTCAACCCCCCACAATGCAAGTGCAGTCATATATTTGTCACCGACATTTTCTGGTAAACTCCCCAACTTGATTTGGGCAAAAATATTACATGGGCTACAACAGAAAAAGACAACTACACTGTATTGCCATAGTTTCAATGGTCCAAGTACGGTTCAAGTTTGTAACATTCTTAAAACGATACTTGTTAATTATGAATATAATTTTTAATACTATTCTTGGAATTCCTACACTTGTTTAATATTACGTTAGTGTTAGAATGGTTTTTGTGTAACCAATTACCATCATTATTATATACGAGATCTCACCATCTAAATGAGCAGTTGTGCTGCAAATTTTTATAATGTAGAAATCATGCACTCACCATTTTCACGTGTTTCAAAGCTTGTTCTTGCAGCAGATCCTCCTTTTTGTTCCACTCCACGCTTGCCATCATTGCTGTCCAAACCTGTAACAGGTTAATTATGCAAACACTAATGACGGACAACGAAACTCGACCGGTAGCATGATGGTAAGCAGACTCGTATCATGTTATTCTAGCACAGTCATTGCCATCGCACTGTAACCTACATGCAGTCAGTCCAGTACAAGACATATCACAACAGTATTCACAGACACAGCAGTGCGAGGACAGTGGACAACGTTCCATGTGCTACGAACGCACGCACTGCCGCCACTGCACGTTTGATGCACACACAGACAGGTCTCTGTGGAGTTATCGACAGTGGACGCCACTCTTGTCGAAGTGTCTGCAGCTGCACTCACCAGTACGACAATCTCATTTTCATTGAACGAGTACTTCTTTGACGTCTCCAGCACGTAGGCAACAGTTTCCTTGATGGGCTCTCCGTCATTGATGCGCTCTGTCAGACTGCTCTGCAGGTCTTTCTTCACGCCAACGCTCTGCTTGTCACGCTGCACACATGGCAAGAAAACACACGTCAGCATCGTTGTAAACAACCCAAACGACAGCTTTCCAGCTGACCATGATCCAAGCTCAAGAGGAGCACACGTAAATAAGATACTCTAACAAGTGCCGCAGAGCGACAGCGCTCAACGAACGTGTACTGTAGCCGGGTATTCTTTCATTACCCGATTCTGAGTCAGAACCAGGGAAATCATTGGGATCTAGGTCACTACCACTATCTACAACCTCCTCTTCATCATCAGAATCAGATAAAAGTCCCACAACTTGCAGTATATTGAACGAACGGGGTCTATTTCACACAGAACGACGTGGTGATTTACTGGAGGTCGCCATCTTGAAACAACTTTCTTACTTCCGGGTCTATAACCTTGTCAATTTGGTGATTCAATAAACATTTACCATGATTTCAGCCTAAAGTGTGCCGTTTCGTGAACATCAGAGCCCTCTCGTGATAACCAGACCAACTAAACATTGAAATCTAGGCTTTAGCCAATCAGAGAGGCTGTTAGAAATGGCTTTGGTAAAAACGACATTTATGTCATTCTGCCCATTCTATGGGAGGCAACATTAATGTCGCTCTGCCTCTAGAAGGGTTAACAGTCAACAAATCCATGTTTAACAATCCATTTTTCTTGAGGGTCAAAAGGTTATCAGACACGCACGTCAGCGGAAAGTAGATTTCATGGTCCTTTCAATAAAGTGATAAAAATTGTAGGTCAGCGCTGAAACAAAAAAGTTTTGCACTCGGTCCGTTATACCATGTCCTCAGAAAATGTCTGATATCTGACCTTTCCCCCACTGCCCTTTGACCTCCAATTTCGCACTGGCGATGGGTTACCTCCCCATCACACTATACATCGAATATTAATAGCGTAGGTCAAGTCGTTGAGATTTGTGCCACAATTCCGTATTTCCTCCTATACCTTAAGTTAAGTAGGAAATATTCCCCCTCCATTGACACATCTCGACCTTTGACCCTCGACCCCCAAATTCGACATCCCGAGTCCTTTTCGCGATTCCCCCGATGTCCCGAATATCAAGACCGTACGTCGAGCGGTTAAGATTTGTGCCCAACTGTTGACGGACGCACGGATGGACACACGAACAATCATGCGATTCTACAAGCTGCATCTGACTTCGTCAGCCGAGCTAAAAATTATCATACCTCAAGTGAGATTAATGCTTCCAGTTTGGCATCTGCCAGCACAATGGCCAAGTTCTCAAATACGCGCTTGTTGAGAGGTAGAAGATCCTGCAAGCATCAATGACATTTTCTTCACTTTGGTTTGGATATCACTTGAAGTCCGAACTTTATATCAATAATGAGATTGTTACCAAGTTACAAATACAAGCCTAAACCACTGTAAACCGTGTCTTTCAGATTTTATCAACAAATTTATGTGCCAACTTCATATTACAGACACTATAGTGTGTAACAGACAGGTGCAACTCTAGGGTATTTTGTTCTTCCACCTTTCTATTGTCATTTCTAATGCATCACGTACACCCATGTAGAAAAATAAACATTTTCTAGATAAATATAATATAGTGCAAAGTCAACCTACCATTAGATCTAGGCCAGACCTACGTATTGCAGTAGCAACAGAAGTCACGTCCTTCTCATTCAGCCATGTGCGAAGCATCAGCAAGGTGAACTCCATCGCGATGCCTACAGCAAAAAAATATTAAACATGTACGCAAACTCACACTTGCCACAAACCATACCAAAAACCAGATAACACAACTTCCCATACATCAATGCTTCAGTCTCTCTTCAATTGACTTGTAACCTCGTCATATACTCAAAGAGGTTTCAAGCTAACTTACACCCAGTTTTTCTATAAAGCATACACTCCAGCTAGATGTCTATTCCACCTGCGAACAACGCAATACTACTACTAATACATGTATGCGCACCCTCTTTCACTAGGGCATCTTGCTTCAGTGCAGGCAAACACGTGGGGACGACTTGGCCACTTGCTAGAAACAAGCCCATTATGATAGCCAGCTTGTTCCGTTCCTCAGGGGTAAACCCCTTGAGGAACAACAATACCTGCAAAACAAACAAAAAACCAATATATTGAAAAATATCTAAACCCTTACATACTCTCATATATAGCATATGTATATAGTCTCCACAGAAATTAAATTTCATTGCTTATAGTGAATATATAGAAAGACTTCCATATAAAAACTGATAAAGTAATTAACACTTAGCCACAATTGGCTTGTATCTATGTCACGTATCGTACAAATTTGAGTACACATCCATTTAAAGGAGTGCAACTTTTAAAAACGATTCTACGAATAATGCAGCAAGAAACTATAGGCTATGATACTGACCTTTTTCACCTCATCTTGAAAGTACTTCTCCAGATACTTATAGCGACGAATCAGCTTGTTGAACACCTGAACATATTGTGTTATCGACTCAAGGTCCCCTTGAGACTTCAAGACGCACACTTCAGTGCGAGCAACCTTGGAATGATCTTCGTCGCCAACGATGCTCCCACCTGGAGCTACAATTCAGATAAAACAATAGACTTTAAAAACACACCAACAATTCGGGTGTGGAATATAAGAAAAACCTCTTACTTTAGGTCAAGAAAATTAACAGCCAAAATACAATTTTCTGTAGAAATTTAAAGTTTTTCAGTTTAAATCATTAGCGAGTTGATAACACGTGTAATACATACATGTGTACACACTGGTAAGTATGATCAGAATGACTGAAAAAATATGAAAACAGTTGGAGGAAAAATGTGAAAGCATTACTGGTTACCTCCGCCCAACGGAGTTGGAGGAGGTTATGTGATCGCTCTCGTGCGTTAGTGTGTGTGTTCGCGCAATCGATATTAGCGCGTCAGCGAGCGAGCCAGCTAGCCAGCAGCAGCTCGCCTTAGAGCGTCGAGTCAGCAGCAGGCCAGTCAGTCAGCAGCAGCTCGCCTTAAGCGGGCAGCACACTTCACCATTTTTGTTGCTCGTACAGGCAATTTTCGTGGTCGCCACAAAAATGGCCAAGTGCGCGGGGGCTGGCAACGACCACTCACCACGGAAATTTAGTGGTGACCACGAGTTGCCGAGAATCAAACCGGTTTGATTTCTCACCACGAAAATTGCTTGTGGTGGCAACTTGTGGTGAAGTGTGCTGTGACGCGGCAACGGCCACAAAAATTGCCTGTACGAGCAACGAAAATGGTGAAGTGTGCTGCTAGCTTTAGGGTGTCGAGTCAGCAGCAGGCCAGTCAGTCAGCAGCAGCCAGCAGCGAGCGGCGAGCCAGCTGTTATACACATACATGTTACATGCTGGCGGAGGTACGCACTCTCCGTCAGTGCCTTCTGTCTAGTTCATTCTGTGTCCTTTTCTTCCCAGAAATAACTATAGAGGGCGTATCAATCAGAAGTTCTTGTAGACATGGAAGCCTAGCATGGTATATCTGTTTGGAATTAACGCTCTGGGAACAAGCGATTAATTTTACTGTTTTTCTGGAAAGAATCTGTTTGTTCTTGACCATGGTCTAGGGTGAGTTTTATAGAATAACGAGATGCTCTGATTATTATGATATTTACCTTGATTGCTGCAATATAACTGATATTAATGTTAGCCAGCTAATTCAAAATTTATCAAACAACGGAAGTTCATTGGTCACCCCGGGTTTCACTTTCAGACTGATATTGAGGTTACTATAGCCATTGAGAATACGTGCCGCGACGTGTTGAACGAACGTAAACAGTCATGCGTGTTGATCGTATAGTTTACGAACCATAGTTATAGAGTAATTTGTTGATTGATGATTGTTAGGATTTAGAACGTTATTAGGATGCTCAAAGGCATGTAATTCGACGAAATTTCTGTTAGGGATCGTCTCATTAGTTTGCATAATTAAATGCCGGATTACTCTGAATCTAGAAAACTGCATTGCATAACTTGGGAAGTAGTCAACTCATTCATGCATGTCTTATTGTTAAGAACCGAATTACAACATTGACATTGATAGAGTTTAGAATGATTGCACCTATTGGTAATTTTATTCATGTGTAGTTAGAAACGGGTTGGAAAATATTGTAATCTGATGTAAAGGTCAAAGGTGCAAGTAGTTGTATGTCCGGGCAAAGCAGTAAGTTTGAATTGAACTGTATGATGTTATTTGTATGCTAGCTGTGAATTTTAACTGTAATTATTCGAATCATTGTACTATTTAGCATCAGCCAAGAACTAAAAATCATTATTGTTATTTTTTCAGAATTGAATGGTAGTTTATAAATAAACCACAATACATGGACCTGGACCTGGTACCTGGACGTACATTTGTTGGGTAATCCCTCCCGCAACAATTACTTTAAAAGATTATTATAAAAGTATTATTATTTCTCTATATCCTTTACATAAAATGCTTACCCAAAACTGTTACATGATATCAGGAGTAGATAATAGGGAAGGAGTGTGACATCTATAAACAAGGGAAATTCGTCATTTACTAGCCTTAAAATACCTACGATTTACTACGCGTAACGCAACCAACTTGAGCTCAAATCGTACACAGTACATCCGCCTAGCATCATGCGAAATCGTTTCCTCTTGCTGGCCACCAGAATTGAAAATGTGTCGTAGTTTAGTCTTGTACTCGGATTGGGGGTGTATATGGGAAGACGATTTCGCATGATGCTAGCGGATGTACTGTGTACGATTGAGCTCCAAGTTGGTGTGCGTACGCGTTAGTAAATCGTAGGTATTTTAAGGCTAGTAAATGAGAATTTCCCTTGTTTATGATGTCACACTCTTCCCTATATCTACTCCTGATGATATTGAAAGACCTTACTGATTAACTGTTGTAAAATCACATCTGCAACAACTTACAAGTATATACCCTTTCTGTATATATATATATATCAAAAAACAGGTTGATTACCTAACAGGCGCGCAGCAAACAATATGTCGAAGAGGGCCTCTGCATAACGTCTGTAGTCGAGTTTGTTACCAGCTGCGTCAAGATATTTGTGACACTTTATCAAGGTCGTTGCCGGCTTCGTTGAATCTCGTATTATGGTGTCTCGGAAGGCTACAGGATCATACTTTCTCCTTTCATCTACGATGAGAATCAACCAATGACCAATTTACCATTGCTTATTGCATTCTATGAACCATGTATAGGGACAGTGATTTCCCGCGATCGCGGAAAAACGGATGGAAAATCGAAAACGGCCATTAACGCGAAAAGATGTTTTCAAACGGAAAACGCGGAAAACGTAATTTGAACATATAAACATGGAAATTTCAATAAAATCACACAAAAACCGGCGACAATAGATTGGTAATGATATAGTTTACATTCAGACAAGTTTCAGGAGCGAAATGACTTACATTATGACTTGTAGCAATGTGTTTCGGTTTATTACATATTTTATTATGAACACATTACCCTACAGGTTCTTTCAAAGGTTGTACCAATACCATTTTTTCATGCAAATATATGAAAATGGAATTTTGCATTTTTGGTGTGTACAATCTCTATGGCAAACGGAATTTCCATTTTTTCTTTACTTTGAAACGAAATTCATGATTTTCCCAAATGGAAAAGGCAATTTTTTGAAATGGAAAATATCTGTCCCTACATGTATCAAATATTTTTGCAGACACTTGTGACAAATCATGACGCAATGCCACGTTACTACCTAGATGTATCGCACTAGTTTGAGCGCAAAATTTAGGTCGAGAAATTACTCATAAGCGCAGACAATGTATCAACTGCGTGGTACTTGTTAGACCAGGAATAAAGCTCAGGCCATCCTTAAAAAATTATATGTTTGCTGTCTGCCAACCGACCCACGAAAATAGCCGCGACCGAAGTTTTTTTTCATTTTGGGTTCCATTTTGTTTTTCATTTCCTCATAGTTAAAGCTGACACAAAGCATTGTGTGGCAAACATGAGGACAGACTTAAAATAACTATTTCTATTATGCTCACACAAAAAACTACCTACCTACCTCACTAAAAATCTGAAGTCGGGGAGACAGCAAACAGAATTTTTAGGATGGCCTCCAGATACCAGCAACAACGTGACACGGCAAGGATTGCTCAACGAAGCCACAACATTGTAATTAACTGCAATCATCTTGCTTTTATTATAATAGGCGCTGAACCTGGCAAAATTCAGAAAAATACGTTTGACATTCTCTAAGCAAAGATCTGATCACACATAACTTTAAGAATATAACAATCTTCCACCTAAGTGCATGCCATTATAAAAAAAGAAACACTTACCCCTTTTTCTGGTCTTAGCCGCTGACCTGATGCGTGGGTTTTTCTACCTTCTGACTCATAACACAATATCTGTGAAGAAACTAATAATCAACTAATACAGCCCTCGATACAAATGGTTGCCCGATTGCCGGACAAGTGAAAGTCTATGTCGGACAAGTTATCTCCTCGCAGTTGCCCCATCGGACAACTGACCAATTCTAGTTGCGTCAGTTGTGTAATATTCCTAACGTCCTTTGAGCAGGGCTGAGGGCGTAATCGGTACCATCGATATCTCACGTCATATTTTCAAAGGTCGCGGAAAAGCAGCCGGAATCACAGACTGCTTTGACCATTACAGATTAGCATCTACGGCATTGATTATTGTACGGGGGGGGGGGTGCACTATTGTGTTTAAGTCGCATGGAATGTTCATTACTGAATACGTAGGGGGTGGGCACTGCTGGGCCATAATAATGAAAATGTAATGACACTGTAGCTCACCAACAAAAAAGACACAAATGAGTGAGTGAGAAGAAGTCAGTTTTAATTGAGCAACCACGCGACATACCATTATAGAAACGAAAAGTATATATGGGAGAACTCCATTATATACTCCTTGATAATTATATGTGTAATTTTTTGTGAAATAATAAATAATATTATATATAAATTATAATAATTAAACGCAAAATGAATCAAAATTTTGACGGTAGATGGCGCTATACCCTTTGATGTTTCTAGCATAAATTCATTATATCATAATAATAATAATATAATAATAATAGTATAAATCATAATATGTTCATAGACAGGAATTTTGCATTAAAGATATTGTCAATGAATACTTGTAAAACGAACCAGAAGATGTGACACCACAGACTGTTTAATATCTGTGTGTCTATATATATGATGCTAATATAATTGCCAAAGCCTACCTCATTGCATTTTTTTTTTAATTAAAACCCTAGCCCTTATTCATTCACATACCAAAAATGAGCAAAATCCGTTGAACCTGAACTGACTAATGACAATTCCATTTTTGCCAAAAATTGCCGTGGCTCGAAGTACGTCAACTGGCGTGCTCGCAAATAGGAGTTCATATGGAGCCATAGCAGTAACAACTAAACCCAATTTCAAAACTGTGGTCAAACGTCCTGAGTTATCGTTGACACAAAACCAAATGTTACGACGGACGCACGTACGACGACCCATGGCAATAGCTCAGCTTGAAGATGTCAAGGTGAGCTAAAAATGGACAGTTGGAAAGCCGTGGTTACAAACACAACAGAGGGATGAAGTGTGGAGCACATCGGACCCTAAAAAGTCGAGACTGATTAAGCGAAGCAGCACCTTATTGACGGCTGCGTGGTGACGGCACGCCGTGAACACAACAGCATTTGAAAACGAAATGCAAGTAGTGCTAGCACTTTGAGGAATAAATGCATAAATCAGGGTGTAGTGTTGTGGAAAGTGTTCAAAAAGATAGGTGAGATGTCCATGTAGTAAATAAGTGTAAAAAGCCGATAATTCTGCGTTTTGTGGCCATTTTATGGAAGAATTGGGGGACAGGTCAGTTACGAAACCTGCATAAAATGTCTACAGCCCTGTACACCGACCAGGCTGTGTGACTAACGCCATACACCGCCTGACATCCATCCATTGAAAAATCTTGTAGCTGTACAAAAACTACCCGATCAATTACGTATATCTCAACATAAAATGATCATCTAAGCATTTCTACCTTGTTTGGTATCAAATATATACCTTCCCTTATGTATTCCAGCGTGTATAAAACGAATACCTCAGTTGCTGTGCACAGTGTTAATTTCAACGACCAAACCGAAATTTCAACTAACCGCCAACCCGCCATGTTTTGCAATGCGCATGATTTTTCGAACGGCACGACGGAAAACCCGAACGACATAACATACCATAGCGTTGCTACTCTGGCGTTGGCGCGAGCATAAAAGACGCATCATATACTCGTATATTAATAAATATGTAAAACATTGAAAACCAGGAATCGCAATCTACAACAACTTAATAAATTACGCAAGTGGCGTGGAGTACGCAGCCGTCAGGTCGTCAAGCCCCTTTTTTGCGTTAGGTTATGGATTAGGGTTAAGGGTTAAGGCTTTAGGGTTATGGTTAGTGTGTTATGTTTAGGTCGTTTTAGGGTTCAGGGGTTCTTGCTCATCAAACTCTCCAAATCGTGAATTTATTTTCCAAGGCGTTATTCGACATCTGCGCGACCGCCGCCATCTTTGTCTGCGTTAAGTAGCAGCGAATGGACTGGCGTACCCTGTGAGCCTGCAGATATAAGATCTACGGCTGGCGTAGCTCCGCCACTGCGTAATGAATTATCATTGCGAAGCTTCTGACTTGCGTTGGAATTTTGCCTACGCACTGTGAAAAATCAGTCCAGCCGATTTTCGTTGGCACTGAACATCGCAGACATGCGGCTGTCTGG